TGCCTATCGAGATGGCTACGAAATTGCCTCGGGCCAATTTTGGATTCATAAATTTTCCCCACTGGAAGGTACGGCTTATTGTTCTATAGTTGAAATAAGGACCTGTCACGCTCCCTTGTATATAGGTATCATTTGCCATTTTCCACTTATCAAGCACAATGCCAGTTTGTAGTGATATGTTGAAAAGATTAGCCAAAGGTTTGCAAAGTTCCTCTTTACATTCTTTAAAACCCTTGAAAACAATTCATCAGGGCCTGGGATTTGTTAGGTTTTAATATCTCTATTTGTCTGAGGACATGGTCACAAGTTACTGCAATCGTTGCATAGTTTATCGTCCTGTTCTACATAATTTCGCTAGTATCTTCCTGAGTTAAGACTGAGAGAAAGTAAGAATTGAAAATTTCACACACATCCCTATCACTGTCAGTGATCTGACCTGGAGCTACTCTTAAGTGGGACTAGTCTTGTCCTATAATCTTAACTTCTTGTATACCTGAAAAGAACCTTTTGGGTTTGTCTTCGATCCCATGGCGAACCTTAGCCTCATAATCCCTTTTGCTTTCCTTATTCCTTTTTTTATTTCTCTCTTTAACTGAATATATTGATTTCTTAACTCCCCATTCCCTCTTTTGATATGCCTATATATGCCTCCCTTTTGACCTATAAGATGTTTTAATCTATTCTTCATCCATTTGGGATCATTTTTGGTTGATCTATTTTCCCTAATTGGAACAATAGTTGACTGAGCAGCTAGAACTATGCTCTGAAAAACGTCATATTGGCAACCAAAATCACCTACCTGACCCATAGTCAGATCATCCCAATTTAGCCCACCCAAGTTAATTTTTTAGTCCAGGAAACAGCCATTCGAACGGTTGGGACAGAGTACTTGATTGCAGTTTACTGGGTAATTCATAATATACTGAAACTAAAGTGATTTGTGAATCACTTTCCAAGTCATCATTAACCCAAGATTATTAATTAGTGAATCTATTGTTGGGGGACAAAGATCCCCCGATCCCCCGCGATGTTTCCTTAGTTGGGTTCTGTCACAACTGTTCTAAAAAGCAATCTGAACTGTATCAAGAAAGTCCACTAGACTCAGATTTCATGTTCATATTGTTCCAATCAGTTTGTCTAAGTTAAAATTTCCCCCAATTAAACATAATTTTCCATATCTAGATGCCTTATGAATTTCATCCCATAGCAGCTAATGCATCCCTATCAAGGTGGGGGGCACTATATGTCACACCCAAAAATTAATTTTGCATACCCTCAAGAAAACTGTTAGTCCAAACAGATTTTTTTTTTTTTTCCCTTGTGTCTGAGTTTCTATTCTGATATCATGTCTATACACAAGAAGTTTAATTATTCTGAACATACATCGTCACTCCACCACCCTTCCTGTTGACACTATCAGTTGGGGAATAGCTTATAACCCTTTATGCTGCTTTTCAGAAGGCATTTTCTATCCTTCAAGTTGAACCAGGTCTCAGTTATAGCAATAATATCTATTATTACCTGCACTTGTGAGATCTAGCTCATCTATCTTATTTCTTACACTCCTACTATTTATATAGTAAACCTTTAAGGAACTTGTCACTTGTTGCCTCTACTTTCGCTCTTTGTTGTTGTATCAGTGCTTTGTCTTTATTAGGAACTTTTATTTTGAATATTGTCTTTTACACATATCCCTGGAGGGATCCTGGTATAAAATTGCTTTTCTAACAATAATACCTGCAGCCGGTTTCCACAAAACCCCATACCTCTATACATCTATCAGTTTAAAGTCCTAGAACAAGTTCATCAATGACCCCTCACGAATTAGCTAATGCAACCACTCCACCCAGAGAGATGAACCCCATCCCTTGCATCATATCATGTTGACATAGATTTGGGATTGCAAGGTTCTTGCAGTTTACCTGTCTAGCCAAGCATTTTAAACCAATTGCCCTAGACATTCCGGTCAATGCCACTCCCCCTTCTAGGCAAGATGTACATATGATAGCAACCCTCCCTTAGACCTGACTACTTCTATGGCTGACCTGTACTTATCCAGTAGCTCCTGTCTCCGGCCTTCCCAATGTTCATTTCCACCAGAACTAGACAGATAATGGGCTTTGTTCCATTAACCTGAATAATATTATCCCAACTGCGACTATGTCCCAACACCAGCTCCTGGGATGCACACTCTCTGTTGGATTTTCTATCTCTTGTTACAAAAAAGCATGGTCCTATATTTACTGAGTGTCTCCAACAATCAGAATCTTTCTTACCTTGATTAGCAGGGGGTAAGAGGTGTACCTTTACCTCACTAACACTGAAGTACACTCGTCTTGGAGAACAGTGAATCGAATTTCCTACCTTACATCTTCTTTATTACCCTCCTTATCTTCTTTCTTCCTTAACTGTGAACCACTTCCCACTTAAAGCGGCTGCCACTCTCATTGGTGGTAAGCATTTCCTCCTTACCAGCACCAACTATTTCACACAAACTGCCAAACACATCTAGGCGAAGCTTCAGCCACCTATTTTCCTCCTGAAGAAGTAGAACCTCCTTCTTCAACACTTTTAAGCTGAGATTCTAAAAAACACTACAAAAGCCAGGTGTAGGTAATGCCCTGCAATACCCGAAGCTCGGGAAGGTATGACCACACATGACACTGACCTTCAAGCGTATGGCCCATTGTTAGGCCAAGTACATTTTTCCAGTCAACAAAATTCTTAGCTTTTCACTTGGGAAGTGTCCTTGGCCCTCTTCTCTTTCTCCTATTCATATATGACCTACCAAATGCTTCGCACTTATCAAACCCACACTTTTTGCATATGACACCAATACGTCTTCTCTACCGAGCCCAGGCACACTAATCAATACTGTAAACACCGAATTACAGAAAATATCTACTGGATGAGACTAACAAACTTACATTAAACATTGACAAACCTATTATTAAGTTTGGTAGCAGAGCTTACGATGTACTCTTAACATAACGATAAACGGATCCTATCACAAAGCTAACAGAGGGAAAATTCTTAGAATCCCTCGATTAATAGACTCAAATTTCATACACAATATACAACAAATTTCTAAGAAATTCCATGACTGTAGGCATACTATCGAAGATACGGTTACTATGTTCCACAGTCAGCCCTCCTGGCCCTTTATCATCTCTTTATTTACCCCTATCTCACCTATGGAATTTGTTGCAATGGGGACTCAACAACCAACTACCATCTCAGACCACTAATTACCCAACAAAGGCTGCAGTTGAATGATAACAAATTCTCTACAGGCCGCAACTCCACCAATATTCACAACACTCATCAACCTACTCACCATACAAAACAACCTTACTTATTAAGTACATTATTACATACATAGGAACACTACTTGATATTAACCCTACCTCATACATTCTTCCTTGCCAACCTCAACCAGTAACACAATTTTTTGACCATAATACAAGGCAAAGATCAAGCTCTTTTATGTTCCTCATGTCCATCTCACGCGATGCAAAAACTCAATGCACATAAAAGGCCCTAAAATCTGGAATTCATTACCTGTAAATATAAAAGAAACACTACCTGTTTATAAATTCAAGTCTCTTCTCAAAGTTCACTTACTCACTCAAAACCAAATAAATACTGAATAAATGAACCATATAAATTGTATATCCTAAATGTTACTCACAATTATATCACACAAATGTTAAACCTAACTTTTTTTTTTTTTTTTCAAATACACTACCTGAATGAACAGCAAGTCTTTGTAATACTCATTTGTATTTTATAGTTATCTGTTTACAATAATGTCTTATCACTGATTTCATCATTGCCTTAGTTATCTTAAGTTAATTTTAAGCCTGCCCGTAATGCTATGCATAGTATAAGTGGCTTTGGCATGCTGCTCTTATCTGTATTTTTTTGTACCTCTGTATGTATGCTAAAATTTATAAATAAATAAATAAATAAATAAAATTTGTGCACAAGAACTCACCAAGTCAACAGTATTAACTATAAAAAGAGTGATCAGAAATTGTATTTTGGCAATTTATGTAAAGTTCAAATATTTCCAATTTCAAAATAGGGTCGCAGAATAATCAATGCAGGCCATTATGGTTACTTAAAAACTAACAACCTCCTTGCTCATTAGTTACATTTTTCAGGCTTTACAAAATTTTTCCATTTTTATTTTTTTTTCCATAATGACTTTTTATTCAAACCAAAAAATAGAAGGTATCTACTGTTATGCAATATTGTAATTATTGTATAATAATATCACCACATTTGGTGAACAGGTATTTCGACCCACCAACTGGCGTTTGTATTAGTGTGTGAGGTTATTTGTTTACTCTTGAACACTGGCAAATATTTAACATTTCCGCTACTCTGAGCTCAGTTTCAAGCCATTTCCAGTATTAAAACCAATCAAAGTCATCTCTATTTCTGTAATATATCTTCCATTCTATCAAATGAGATCAAGAAATCACAAATACAACTATAAAAAAACATACAAAAAAAACACTGCAGTTGCTGTTTTAATAAAAAATTATGGCCTCAGTTTTTTTTTTCTCTCATTATGCACTGTGTGCTGCAGGATTTGTTTTATGGGGTGTGCACATACCACATAGATGTACTCTCTCATATCTAGGCCCAAATTTACAGCTTATCAGAGTGAGCTGAGCTCATGGCATAGATCTATGATTTGGACCCTCAGTGTAAAGCTGTAGATCTATTGCACAGACCCTGAAAGGGTTAATATATGTTAGTGTAAAATTGTTATCTGGCATTTATATATGCATTTATAAGTGGAAAAAATGGCATTCTGCTCTTCAGCAGTAGCCTGGAACCTAACCTGCCATATAAGTGAGGTCCTACTGTACTTAGTGAATAGGAGGAATGAATATTCATTGGTAAAAGCAGACGAAAGGTAAGAGAATTTTAAATAGCTCCTCATTAGTAAGAAATGTGTATTATACAAATGCAATTTCTTTAATTACCGTAAATCTAGAGCGTTCTTCCAAAACTTCATAGCCAACTATTGGCATACGGTAAAGGCAGGTGTTAGCACTATCCTCACTCTGTGGGAACCCTAGTGAAGCCAGAGGTCCTGTTAGTGGGGAAGAATCTGTCACTTGCCCTGTAAAATAAAAATTTAATTATATTATTATTATTATAGGCAGTAGGTTGGTAGACAGCAATTGCTGTCTGGAATACTATTATATAATACAAGCACTCCTCACTTAATGACCGAGTTCCGTTCCTACGAGTAGATCGGTAATCAAATTGGTTGATAAGCAAGGAGCTGCCCCTTACCAATATTTCAAGCATACTGTACTGGTAGTGGGATTGTGTCAACCATCTTCAGATATTGTTTTAATGTCACCTTTGCACCATTTATAACATTTTTAGTATATAAAAAATAGAAATAGGCATTAAAAACAATAAAAAAGTAAAATACACATACAGTACATTCATCACTTACCTTAAAATATTTATAGTCTTAATGTCGAGTCAGAAGTGAGTATTTATTGTAGAAAAAGAAAGAAGAGGAGGAGGAAAGAATGGAAGAAGTATAAAAGAAGTTCACTGCAAAGGGGGTTAGCATGTATGAACCAACTGTAAGCATATACAAAACAATATGTGTTCGACTGTTTGTTTACACACACACACACACACACACTCTCTCACTCGCTCTCTCACTCACTCTCTCACTCACTCTCTCACTCTCACTCTCACTCACTCTCTCACTCACTCACTCACTCACTCACTCACTCTCTCACTCACTCTTTCTCACTCACTCTCTCACTACTTCTCCTTTCAAATTTTTTTCCTTTCACTCTCTCACTCATCTCACTCACTCTCACATTCACTCTCACACTTCACTCACTCACTCTCTCACTCTCTCACTCCATCTCTCACTCTCTCAACTCTCTCCCTAACTCTTCTTCTCAACACTCTTCACTCACTCTCACTCACTTCTCTCACTCACTCACTCTCTCCACACACTTACTCACGCTCCACTCACTCATCACCACTCACTCACTCACTCTCTCACTTCACTTTCACTCACTCTCTCACTCACTCTCTCACTCACTCTCTACTCTCTTCACTCTCTCACTCACTCACTCTCTCATCATCACTCTCTCATCTCTCCTCTCTCACTCACTCCTCTCACTCACTCACTTATCTCACTCTCTCTATCAACCCCCAACAATCTCCTCATCTCCCCTTCTTCCCACTCTCTCACTTTCTCTCTCACTCACTCACTCTCTCTCACTCACTCTCTTCACTCACTCTCTCACCTCACTCTCTCACTCACTCTCTCACTCACTCTCTCCACATCACTCTCTCACTCACTCTCTCACTCTCACTCACTCACTCTCTCACTCACTCTCTCACTCACTCTCATCACTCTCACACTCTCACTCTCACACTCTCACTCTCTCCTCTCACTCTCTCACTCCACTCTCACTCACTCTCTCACTCACTCTTCAACTCTTCTCTCACTCTCTCACTCACTCTCTCACTCACTCGCTCACTCTCTCAACTCACTCTCACTCACTCTCACACCTTCTCATCTCTCACTCTCCACTCTCTCACTCACTCTCACTCACTCTTCTCTCCCACTCACTCACTCTCTCATCCACTCTCTCACTTCATCAACTCATCACTCGTGTGTGTGTGTGTGGTGTGTGTGTGGTGTTACTCACCTATTTGTACTCACCTATTTGTGGTTGCAGGGGTCGAGTTCATAGCCTGGCCCCGCCTCTTCACTGATTGCTACTAGGTCCTCTCTCTCCCTGCTACATGAGCTTTATCATACTCGCTTAAAACTATGTATGGTTCCCGCCTCCACTACTTCTCTTTCTAGACTATTCCACGACTTGATACTTCTATGACTGAAGAAATATTTCCTAACATCCTTCGATTCGTCTGAGTCTTCAATTCCAATTGTGGACCTCTTGGTCTGGTGTCCCATCTCTGGGAATATGGCTTTGTCACCTTGTCTATCCGCGCAGTATTTTATGTCGTTATCATGTCTCCCCTGACCCTCTGGCCTACAGTGTCGTCAGGCCGATTCCTCAACCTCTTTCTTCGTAGGACAATCCAGTAGCTCTGGGACTAGTCTTGTTGCAACTCCTTTGAATTTCTTAATTTTTGACGTGCTTGATAGGTGGGATTCCAAACTGGTGTCTGCTTACTCCAGTTTGGGCCTGACGTAAATGGTATACAGTGGGCTTGAACGACTCCTTACTGAGGTATCGGATCGCTTCTTTAGGTTTGCAGGCGCCCGTATTATGCTGCAGCAGTTATTCTGATTTTGTGCGCCTCAGGAGATTATGCTCGGTGTTTTATACTTCAACCCCAGACCTTTTCTGAGTGAGGTTTGCAGTCTTTGGCCATCTAAAACTATATTGTGTCTGCGGTCTTCTATGCCCTTCCCCAATTTCATGACTCCCTTGCATTGCCAGGGTTTTAAACTCAAGGAGCCAGTTGTGGACCAGGCTTGCAGCCTGTCCAGGTCTCTTTGGAGTCCTGCCTTATCCTCATCCGATGTGATTCTTCTCATTAACTTCACATCATCTGCAAACAAGGGACACTTCTGAGTCTATCCCTTCGTTATGTCGTTTCACATATACCAAGAACAGCACAGGTCTAGGACTGACCCCTGTGGAACCCCGTTGTCACAAGCGCCCCTTTGACACCTCGTCACGTAATGACTCGTTGTCGGCCTCCCTGTCAGGTATTCTCTGATCCATTGCAGTGCCTTTCTGTTATGTGTGCCTGATCCTTCTAGCTTTTTCAGTAACCTCTTGTGAGGAACTGTGTGCACCCACCATTTTTGAGTACCCCCCCCCCCACCACGATGCAGAGTCGGACCACCCCTCTCTCTTCTTGTCTTACTTCTTTCACCTTGTCATATAAAACTCTAGTAGGTTTGTGACACAGGATTTTCCTTCCCTGAAACCATGCTGGTTGTCAAATTATACACTTGTTTCTTTCCCGGGTTGCTCCACCACTCTCTCTGATGATCTTCTCCATGACCTTGCATATATACACGTTAGTGATACAAGGTCTGTAGTTTGTGCTCATGTCTGTCTCCCTTTTTAAAAATTGGGACTACATTGCATCTTCCATACCTCGGGAGGTGCCCAGTTTCAATGATGTGTTGAGATCTTTGTTTAATGGCCACCAACAATATCTTGCTCCCTCTTTAATGGACCCACGGAGGAATGTTGTCTGGTCCACCGGCCTTTGAGGTGTCAATGTTCGCATGCAGCTTCTTCCACTTCTCCTCGGTAATATGTACCTCATCCGCACTTGCTGGTGTACTTCCCTGTTCTGATTTCTGGTGTACCTACTGGTTTTCACTGTAATATTCTTAAAAATCTCTCGTGTTGTGTGTGTGTGTGTGTGTGTGTGTGTGTGATGTTGTGTGTGTGTGTGTGTGTGTGTGTGTGGTGTGTGTGTGTGTGTGTGTGTGGTGGCGTGTGTGTGTGTGTGTGGTGTGTGTGTGGTGTGTGTGTGTTTGTGGGTTGTGGGTGTTGTGTGTGTGTGTGTGAGTGTGTGTGTTGTGTGTGTGTGTGGTGTAATGTGTGTATGTATGTACTACCTAATTGTTGCTTGCAGAGTTGAGACTCAGCTCCTGGCCCTAGCCTCTTCACTGAGTGCTACTAGGTCCTCTCTCTCCCTGCTCCATGAGCTTCGTCACACCTCGTCTTCAAGCTATGTATGGTTCCTGCTCCACTACATCACTTGTTCTTGGGATTTCACTTCCTGACAACTCTTGTGACTGAAGAAATAACTTCCTAACATCCCTGTGACTCATCTGAGTCTTCAGCTTCCAATTGTGACCCTTTGTTTCTGTGCCCCCCTCTCTGGAACATTGTGTCTCTGTCCACCTTATCTATTCCACACAGTATTTTGTGTCATTATCATGTCTCCCTGACCCTCCTGACCTCCAGTGTCATCAGGCCAATTTCCCTCAACCTTTCTTCATAGGACATTTCCTGAGGTCTGGAAACTAACCTTGTTGCAAAACCTTTGCACTTTCTTTAATTTCTTGATGTGCTTGACCAGGTGTGGGTTTCAAACTGGAGCTGCGTACTCCAGTATGGGCCTGACGTACACAGTGGACAGTGTCTTGAACGATTCCTTAATAATTTATCGGAACACTATTCTCAGGTTTGCCAGGTGCCCTTATGCTGCAGGCAGTTATTGGTTGATGTCTGCTTCCGGAGATGTGCTCGGAGTTATGCTCACCCCAAGATCTTTCTCCTTGAGTGAGGTTTGCAGTCTTTGGCCACCTAGCCTATACTCTGTCTGTGGTCTTCTTTACCCTTCCCCAATCTTCATGACTTTGTATTTGGTGGGGTTGAATTCGAGAAGCCAGCTGCTGGACCACATGTTCAGCCTGTCCAGGTCTCTTTGTAGTCCTGCCTGATCCTCATCTGATTTAATACTTCTCATTAACTTCACATCATCTGCAAACAGGGACACTTCTGAGTCTATCCCTTCCATCATGTTATTCACGTATAACAAATATAGCACTAGTCATAGGACTGACCCCTGTGAGACCCCGCTAGTCACAGGCGCCCACTGTGATACCTCATCACGTGCCATAACTCATTGTTGCCTTCCTGTCAGGTATTCTCTGATCCATTGCAGTGCCCTTCCTGTTATACGTGCCTGATCCTCCAGCTTCTGCACTAATCTCTTGTGATGAACTGTGTCGAAGGCCTTCCTGCAGTCCAAGAAAATACACTCAACCCACTCCTCTCTCTCGTGTCTTCTTCTGTTACTTTGTCATAAAACTCCAGGAGGTTTGTGACACAGGATTTGCCTTCCATGAACCCATGCTGGTTGTCGTTTATAATCTTGTTCCTTTCCAGGTGCTCCACCACTCTCCTGATAATCTTCTCCATGACTTTGCATACTATACACATCAGTGACACTGGTCTGTAGTTTAGCGCCTCGTTTCTGTCTCCTTTCTTAAAAAAATGGGGACTCACATTTGCCTTTTTCATACCCTCAGTTAGTTGCCCTTTTTTCCCCAATTTCAAGGAATGTGTTGAAGATTGTACTTAGTGGAACACACAGTCTCACTGCTCCTTCTCTAAGGACCCACAGAGAGAT